CGAAACCCAAATCCATTTAAGGCTTTGACCTCCAAAGCTATAAGTTTTACTGTACACGTCCCTAAGTATGTAATTATTTGTTGTAACAGCACTAGGAAATAATTAGAGACAATATCAGGTGAAAATACTGTATTTAAGAAGTCAAAGTCAGGAGAACTCAAATAACCTATGCCTGATACGCATGTATGTGATGTTATATTCGGTACTCTGAAGTAACAAATGAGCAGAGAGCAAACCTAACAAGCCTGTGGGGCAGACAAGGCAGAGGGACCAATGACTTCACAGACTTTGAAGGGGCCAATGACTTCACAGACTTTGAAGGGGCATTTTTAAAAATTAAGCAACACAGGGCCGGGGATGTAGCTGAGTGGTTCCACCGCTGCCTTCCTTGCAAGCAAAAGGACCCAAGTTCGATCCCCGGTACCAAAAAAAAAAGTAAAAGAAAAAAAAATGATTAAGCAACACAGGGAGGACAGCATAGCTGAAGCACAATGAACAGTGACTTATAAGAATATATAAACATAAAAAAAATTGATATATAGTCTAAAAATGGTAGATTAGATATCAGATTTTGTGATAAGACAAAAAATTCAGTCTATAAAAGAAACTTTAAACGACAATGAAAACAAAGCAATGTGTACTTTTAGTAAGGTTGAAAACTCGTTTTTGCCATAATAGGATTCATTTCCTACTTCTAAACATCTAAACTTCACTTAACTGGTTTATAGTAAATAAACTTTTGAAAAATGTATTTAAACACAAAAATGTTTTGAACGTTCTTTGATGCTAACTACAAACAGGAAATGACAACTTAAAAATAGACTTTGAAACCAAGTATAGTGATATATACACCTTTCATCCCAGCTACTCACAAGACAGAGGAAAGAGGATCACAAGCGAGTAATCTAGCAAGACCCCGTCTCCAAACACAAATCGGAGGCAGATGTAGCTAGCTGGGTTGAGTTCCAAGTACCCACCTCATACACACACAGAATGTGATAATTAAAGTTGGACAGCTCAAGCACATTCACTTTTTGACTACTTACAAATTAAAAATAGAAAACAAGCAGGAAAAAAATTACATTCTAAGTTCCCTTATGAAATCTCCATGGTGATTAAAAATTATGTCCTCTATTTCTTCCTTTGCATCTTTATTAAAAAGGATTAAAGCTGAGGATTCTTAGCCCTACAAGCCTAACACAGGGCTGGGCATGGTGGAGCTTACCTAGAATCCCAGCAGTAGGGAGACTAAGTAAGGCAGGACTATCACCAAGGGTTTGAGGTCACCCTGGGCCACAGAGTGAGTTCAAGGTCAGCCTGAACTATACAGAGACCCTGTCTCAGAAAAACAAAATAAAACAAAAACCTCTCAAGTCTAGCATAACTGATAAACCTCAAGCGAGATTGATCAAAAAGTCACAAACTAAATTCAGAAATGGGGGGGGATACTGTACACATTAAAAATATATTTCTAACAAATTTTACAATTTAGACATATAAAATTAGAAAAATAAATTCCACTTCAAGAAGAAAAAACTATCAACAGTCCTATCTATAATTGTTATAGAAACCAAATCAATCATTAAAAAAAAAAAACCTTCCCACAAAGAAAACTCAGTCCCAGGGTATTATATTGAGGAATTCTACCAGTCAAGAAAAAGACAAAACTACCTTAAGGTAGGGAAAAAGAAAATTCCAGTTTCTTTTCTGAAATACCTTAACCCATAAAAGACACCTAGAATGGATTTGGGGGGGTACCGGGTGTTAAACTCAGGACCTTGTAACTTATGAGACAAGCACGGTGCCACTGAGCTAAATCCCTGGCCCTGGAATGAAACTTTCACATGCAAATTTCCCTCATTAACAAACACAAAAATTATACATGAAATATTGTCAAACCAAATCTAGAAAAGTGTATCTACAAAATATCTCTATAAAATATTGTAATGATAAAATTTTGAAAACTTTGGGTATCAGAAAGAAAAAAGATAGCTCTCTTCAGTATTCTGTAGGGTTCACCTGGTGGATTATGACAAATAAAAAATAAAGCAAAATACAAAATACAAATGTCATAATTAAGATAATCACATATCTCAAAATAATCTACCTGTAAATTAAAATAAATAAATCTAATGGATCCATCAGCAAAGGCTACAGTACTCGTATTTCTATAGTCTAGCAAAAGAAAATGTAACTAGAAAATTTCAATGGAAGTACACAGAACTAAGAATCTAGAATCTTTAAAATCTCCCTAAAGAACAAAGTATGATGACCTTGATAATAAAAAGAGTTATCTTTATGATCTCTGGAAGGGAAGTTTCTTAAGCAAGACATACAAATACAACACTAAGGACAAAAAATTCCTTAAACTTTGACAACTTCTATATTAAAATTTACGGAAATATTCATCAAACGCCCTGAGACAAGATGAGCCAAAGCTGGAAAAGATATTGACACCTATAGCTAATATTGATCCATTATACAAAATTAGAACTCCTAAAAACTAACACAAACTACCTAATTAACCATTAAAGAAAATGAAGTTTGCAACTCGGTCCTCATACATTTTATCCAAATTGCTAAAAAAAATAGAAAATTGTTCTCAGTCCCATAAGGGAATGGAAATCAAAGCCAAAAGATACTGTATGTATTATACACCCCCACATGATTAGCAGAAATTCAAGTTTGACAAAATTAAATACGAAATGTGAATGAGGCTCAATGCAAACTCTCATGCTGGTAAGAAATTATAATTCAGAACAATTAACTTTTTGGTTTTATCTACTGAAGTTAAAGACATAATAAGGGTCTGTAATTCAATCCCTAGACAGGATGAACTCTAGAGTATCCAAGGCACACCTGTGTCAGGACTCAGGTATGAGAATGTCATAACAGGGCCAGGGATTTAGCTCAGTGGTTCCACCGCCTGCCTGGCAAGCACAAGGACCCGAGTTTGATCCCCAGTACCAAAAAATAAAAAAGTCCTAACATCACAATAACAGCCCAAAAATATTAACAGTAGAAGCTATTTATAACTTTATTCTGAAAGTTTTTGATCCAGTACCAAAAAATAAAAAAGTCCTAACATCACAATAACAGCCCAAAAATATTAACAGTAGAAGCTATTTATAACTTTATTCTGATTATCAATTCCTTATTGTGAGGGGGAAAGTTTTCTAACCACGAAAAAAAGCTTCACCACTTCCTTCCAAAATTCCTATCTTCAAGCCTTTCAAGGTTTTTATTGTTATATTCCCAACACTTTCAGTAATAATTTACAAGACAGCGTGTTTTACTGTTCAGATAGCTATCATCTATCATATCAGGATTTGTCGATCACTTCCACTTAATTTTATTTTCTTTTTTTTTAAATTTCCACTCAAATTTAAATCTAGGTTTTAAAGTCACAGTATTCCATTCTGATCCTCAGAATCACCACCTTATTCAAGGATAAGGCTCACTACACATTTTCTTCTAGTTCTTCGTGCTATGTACCTATATCAGAATTTCAAGTTGCTTAGAAATCTATACTTGAGCTACACCTTAATCCATAAATAGAATACTGTGTCTCTGTAGAAAATTTTGCAATGTTTTTCTTAAAGTATAAGCTTCAAGCCAGAAGTGGTTGTGCACACCTATAATCTCAGCACTCGGGAGAGGCTGAGGCATGAGGATTGCTGTGAGTTTGAGACTAGTCTGGGCTACACAGTGAGTTCCAGGTCAGCCCTAACTACATAGTGAGACCCTCAAAACATATATATATATTATGTGCTTCAATCCCTAGTAACACAAAATAAAACAATGCACAAGCTTTACCCAGTACCTCATAAGACTTTTTCCTTATCTAAGGAGTCAGCAAATTTTTTATATGAATCGTCAGACAGTTAAGTAGTTTAAGCTCTTCAGGCCAGATGGTGTCAACTGCAGCCATTCTACACAAAACCAGCCACAAATGATAGCACTGTTGGGTTCTAACACAATTTTATTTTCAAAAAATAGGCACCTAGTACATTGTATTACTTTGTATTTTTAATTATAAGCATTATGCTTGCTCCCAGATTTGTTACTATGTCGCTAATCCAGTTAACTACAACTTGATAACATTAATTTTATCCATTTCCATTATGTAAAGGAAAAGTCATTCTAAAATCTTCAATGTTCAATACAACAAATCCAGTAAGATTTCATGCAATAAAGGGGTGCACAAAAATGCATATAGAGAATGTTTAAATATTATTTATAATAAAAACCTAAAAAGTTTATACAGATTTTCATTTTTAGAATGTTAGTGATTATTCAGCTAACAAACTATTCAGAAAAAAACAGACAGATGGTGGTGATAACGTCCTACTAACCTTCTACTTTACCATTGGACGGAAACATAGGAGAGAGAATGTGTGACTACATAAATATTGTAAAATGCTTTTTTTGTGGGGGAGGTGCTGCACATTGAACCCAGGGGTTGTCTAACACTGGACTACATTCTATTTATCTACTGGAGACAGCCAGGGTCTTGCTAAAGTTGTTCAGGCAAGACTCAAATTTGCAATCTTCCTGCCTCAGCCTCCCTCAGTGTAGGGACTAAAGGTATGTCCTATGAAAGATCTCCCCCAATAAGATGCTCATTTATTTCTAAGATTCTACCAAATTAGAACTCTAAATCTAAAGTAGAGATGAAGATTTAAGCCACTTAATAAAAGTTCTCACAAATTTACAAAAATATTTTTTATACTATGGAAAATTCCATCTCTCATGAACTTTTTTTTTTTTAGAGACAGAGTCTCGCTATGATGTTGTTCAGCCTGGCCTCAAACTCACTGTGTAGACCAGAATGGCCTCGAACTCACAGCAATCATCCTGCCTCAGTCTCCCAGTGCTGGGCCTACAGGCACACACCACTGTGAGGGCCATCCATCCTTTTCATTAGAAAAATGTACTTTAATACCTAAAAAGTACATTCCTTAATTCAGTAACTAAATATCAAGTGAGAAAACTCTTACCCTAGGAAAATTTTCACACGAAGTTCTTTTTTAGTCCTTGAGATTGCCTTCAATGTGGTAACTTCTGCATCATACCAAAATCCTCTTTTTGCTGGATTTTCTACATTGTAATTAACCATTACCACATCACCAACATTGAGTTCATTCCATTTCAAAGTGGTTCTAGCACGTGGTCGAAGATCCTTGACATTCATTTCTAGAGTACCACTTTCCGGGTATCTGAGAAGAGAAAGAACCACAGAACACAGTTTACAGTCATCACCAAAGAGGACTAAAATTATGACATATATAGAAAAACCTAACTTGCAGAACTGTCCATCTGAGAGAAAAGGTAAAACAAGCTACCACAATCCTTAAAACAGTGGGTGTAACTCATGTTGGCCTCCAACCTGTCCCACACTGACAAGGGGCTGGTTTCCATGTGGGCATGAGCCTCTTCCCCACCTCCAACCAGGCCTTCAGATTAAGGTGTCTTCATGGTTTACACAATGTCAGGCAAGTGTACAAGAACCACAATAATATCTACTTTGAGAAATATACTATTTCTCTAGAGTATACTATATGTAACATATTTAGTTAATTAAGTATTACTCTTATAACCTGGATATTCTGAGTGAGGCTGTCCATTTTTATGGCAGGAACAGTATCGAGGATTGAATCTAGGGCTTTCACACTGAGCTTCACCCCTAGCCCTTTATTTTGACAGTCTTGTTAGGTGGCCCAAGAGGAGCTCAAATTTGTAATCCTCTCGCCTCAGGTTCCCAGAGTGCTAGGATTACAGGCATGTGCTACTTTGCCTAGCCAAGACTATATATTATCCTGAATGACATTTAAACGGTAAGCATTAAGAATTTGAATTACCAAAGTAAAATAATTTTTTATTTATTTATTTTTTGGTACAAGGGATTGAACTCAGGTCCTTGTCAGTGATACCAATAAGATAAATCCCTGGCCCTAAAATAATTCTTATTAAAGGCTTAGGAAGACATTGTTAGCTAGTGGTTAAAAGTACAGTAAAAACACAAATTCTTCCCTCTTATCTTGTTAACATTTTCAATAGTACTACACATTGACCTCTCCTTGATCAAGAAATCAGTTTGAGTTCTGTTACGTGTCATTTGCTTTATGCAGAGTATAAACCCTAGCATGCTCCAATAACTTCCATTTTCCCCGGAAGAAAAAATAAGACTCTAGGGTTTTTTTTTCAGACAGGTTTTCACTATGCAGTTCAGGCTAAACTTGAACTCACCATGTAGCCCAGGCTGGACTCCAACTCATGGTCATCCTCCTGCCTCAGCCTCCCTCCTGTGCTGGGATTAGGGAAGGTACCACCATGCCCCACCCCACCCCTTAATTCAGCAGATTTCACATGGCCTCCTGGAGTGCTGGGATTACAAGCATGCACCACCACAACAGGCTTAAGATTCAAATTCTTAAACACAGCCAAGTCCTTAGCAATATTTAAAAATAAAATAACATAAAACCCCAAATTTCATATGCAATTAAATTTGGCTTTACTGCTTTCTAAAATTGTAGAACATTCTTCAATTTTAAGTCTAACTTCTTGGTATCTATCATCAGTCCAAAGACAACAAAGAACAATCCACAATGGCTTCTGTAAAATTAAGAACTGCTGCTGCTTCTATGTGCCACAAAGTAAATGGATGGTTCCTGCTCTTAATGAGAGCGTCTACTGAGGCGGGCCAAACTGCCACAGCCGTGGTTCTGGAAGTGCGGCTCAAAGCAGCCGTATCACCACTGCCTGGAGATAGGTTAGAATGCACATTTTTAGGCCTTGCTGCAGACTTTGCGCCAGACTCTGAAAATGAGGCCTTGTGATCTATTTCTACAAATCTTCTCCGTGAGTATAACTTTGAGAACCTGTTACAAGAGAGAATATAAAAATAACTCAATATTACACCCTAGTGTGGCAGCATTAATAAGCTAGAGTCTAAGGGATGAAAACTTTAATACTCAACCAAAAAGGACCTGTTCAAAATGAAAGTGGGTCTAAAGGTGGAACCTGCTTCTGCAGCTAGTCTTGGCTCCTCCAAATCAAACAGGACTACGCAAGCTTATGATGTTCATAGTATAGCAACACCTTTGAAATAGATAGGTATTAGTTCTGTATTAGGTCTTTAGCTAATCACAAACTTTATTCAAGTCTAAGTTTCAATCACCGGGAAGTAACTTGGATTGGCAGGGACCTCTGAGATTATTTGATTCTTTATTTTCTCAGAGCCAAGAGTCCCTTCAACAAGCCTTCCAATCAGGATCCGCTCGTACAACACATCATGGGGAAATTAACCCTCAGAAAAGCCGTGCTGTCTTCACATAGTTCTGACATAGCAGAGAGAAGATACTCGATACTTAATCTAAGATAAGCTTTTCGAAAATCTTCTAGGCAGCAGTACCATGAAAGTATGTATACACTCTCCAAAACAGACCTAGCACCTGTCAGTTTAAATCTCCCTGTACCTTTAATTAGTATCTCTTCTAATTAAAATACTGTTTTTGGTGAATTTCCTTCAATACATACAACAAATTTTGGGTTTTTTTTTTGTTGTTGTTTATTTTTTGAGACAGGGTCTCACTATGTAGGGAGACTGACCTGGAACTCACTCACTATTTAGCCCAGGCTGGTCTCAAACTCACAGTGATCCTCCTGCCTCAGCCTCCTGAGTGCTGGGATTACAGGCGTGCGCCACCACGCCCAGCATACAACAAATTTTTGAATCCCTATCATCCTGGTATCTTCTCTCAAAATATGTTCTACTACCAGGTGACCTACCTTCAGGATTCCCAGTTTATGCTCCTGCTGTGTTACTAAATCTCTATGACTATTCCTCACATGTAAAATGTAGCTAATGATAATGTACTTCTTGTTCGTGTTTCTATGGAATAAAATGAGATCTTTAAAAATGCTTAAAGTAGGAAAAAATGAAGTAAATTATCGGCTGTTCATATTTTATCATTGTTTCATAGACTTCACCTTAACCTGAAAAGCACAAAGTCTTGTCCATGCTTCATTCCTCTCCCTCTATTTAATCCTAGTTTTAAGTAGTCAGGACTAAATACAGAAAGTCTCTAGCCCAACATACAATCATGTTGTTTCACATGGTTTTGTCAAAAATAATTTTCGTCAAAAGTAATTTCAACATATTAAATGAGAGACTAGACCTTTTAAAGCTTTTCTAATTCTGAAGTTGTGAATTCAATTTCTGTCTAGATATTAAGGCCATGTAAGACAGAAAACTTCTATTTTAGATTAGATTATTTTCTCAGCTATAATGTGGAAGTTATATTTAACATGACATTACTCTATATATTTTAAAATAAAGTAAAAGCTGTTTCAATGGGTAAATAAATCTCAATTTGCCTAATCTTGACAAAATTAGACACTAAGATTGGAAACACTTTGAGCAAGATACAGAACCTGTATGGTTTTTAAATTATGTGTATGTAAAATCATGTTTATATGGAGATAAAGCAAAATACTTTATGCATTTGTGAAAACAAGGGAATTTAATATTTGTACTAGAAATCCGTACCATTTTAAAACAGAATTATGTAGTAAATGAAATGTACATATACTGTGTACTGTGCACACATATATGGAAGTAGTCTATAAAAGATGTGTCATAAAACTTCTAGCCAAAGACATAATGGGTTAACTGCTGGATCAAAGGGGAAAAAAACCCCAGAAGACACGACAAAACTTATTTTTAAACAAAGTCAAGAGCATATCAAGTGTTCAAATATGTAATATCAATGTTAAATTTCTTGGCGATATCTATATCTATATCTTAACATGTACATGACTCTAATGCTCCTCCTTTACTTTTAGATTCTTGTATCCAACCCAGATGTCTCAGAAGCACTCAAATTCAACACATCCCGAAGGAATTCTCCCACTTCATAATACACTGATGCTACGTAGTATCAGAAAGAAACCCTTTATGATCTTAGAAACTTGGCATTCTACCAAGTCACTGCTTTTTTACAATACACCGCTAACTTCTTTAATGAAACTCTATACCCTTAGTTAAGATCTTCATTTCTCAGACTGTCATGGTCCAAATTATCTCTGCTGTTAGGATCATGCCCTTTAAAGAAAGAAAAAGCAATAGGATTACATCTTACAATCCTTACCACATTTTTGTCTAAGTGAAGATTCTAAAACACAGATCTACTTAAAATATTTCATGATAGGTTATAGGAAAATGGGTTATCTTCATACAATGCTCTAAGGACTACAAAAGTGGCACTTGTAGCCTTGTAGAGGGAAATGTGGCAACAAGCAACAAAACTGGCTATATGTTTAACTTTTATCGAGGAATTACACTTCCAGGAATACATCCAAAATATAAACAACAAAAACATTCCAGGAAAGGAATATATACACAACTGTATTATACAGCTGCATTATTTGTAATAAGAAGGCTACAGATACAATGGAATGTTCATAATAGATAATCACTTAAGGTAACACAGTACAGCCAGGTGAGGTGGCATAAACCAGTAATCCCAGCTACCCTCAACGGCAATTTAGCAAGAACTTGCCTTAAAATAAAAAATAGGGCGGGGAATGTGGCTTGCTGGAAGAGCACCCCTAGGTCCAATCCCCAGTACCAGCAAATGAAACAAAAAAGGTACTATTATATAATACAAAGTTATGCTTCTACAAAAATGGAATGAGGAATAAATACATGCTATGGAGTAATCTCCAGGATTTTTGAACTCAAAAAAGCAAGGTTCAGATAATAGGTGTAGTATATTTTATCTAGCTACGTAAGTTAATGCAACTATCTATGAGAATCAGTTTCTCTCCCATCCAAGTACTAACCAGGCCTGACCCTGCTTTAGATTCGGAGATCAGACAAGATCAGGTGCGTTCAGGGTGGTATGGCCATAGACTCAAGTTTCTTTTACTGTACAAGACTAAAGTATAAACTGTATTTCACATCACTATAAAACAAAAGTAACAAAACATGAGAAATCCCTTAAAATCAAAAGAAAAATAAAATAAACACATAACTGGTGGCCTAACTACATTGACAGGAACTTTTACAAGTGATGTGAATATGTATTAAGTTGGCTATACAGCCCAAATGATGTATTTTCTAAGGACAAAATGGGGGGGGGACAACTTCGGTAACCATACTGTTTATAATACTAGTACCCCTAGTTTGAAACTACTACATAAGATAAAGTAAATA